ACATCAGAAGAAAGGACGAAGTGCATATGCATTGTGGAAGCCCTATGTTCCACTTAGAACAATAATAAAAGAATAATAATTTAACTTGTCCCCTATAATCCGGCTGATCCCAATCTACTAGTCTGATCTCATTGGCATCACGTGGCGTTTGATAAATTATATTAACTTTTCGTGTTTTGGAATAAAGCAGATTATTATCATTACTATTAACTGGATCTATCGGGTCCTTCAGCTGAATTTAATTCATACTACGAAAAGTGGCAAAGGTAAGCCAAACTAGTAAAGCATAAGATTGAAATGATGGAACTAAACATATACGGAAATCTTCAAGTATTAGTTTTTGTGGGAATTTTGTTTGACTGGCTGGAGAGTTTCGTCATCAGCTGACATCAGTTAGCGAACCATTGGAAAACATGCACTGGAGTACTGGACAACCAGCTTTTTCGTCCTATTTTGTGACTCTTCAACATGACACACCCAGCGACCGAGGTTCGAACCCAGGACCTTCTGATTACAAGGCGAGGTCGTTGGCCATTAAGCCACTGGACCATTCATGGACCATTATATTGGATATCAGGGGCTTAATTGTCTACCAGGTAGTTTTGTAACCAGAAGTTCCTGAGTTCGAACCTCGATCGGTGGGTGTGTACGGATGAAGAATGCCAGACTAGGACGAAATCCTCTAACTGACCAGGCGAAATCCCTACCAAAACCAATACTTCAAAATTGTTGGATCAATAGTCACATAAAAATGCTACATAACATGTTTTGAAATTCGACAACATAAAGTCTGACATGACAAAGAAAAAATGTTATTTAGAATAATAAGTGGCACAAGTGAAGTGATACCGGAAACTGTTCAATGTGAGAATAGTAATAATAATAATAGTAACAATCGGCATAATAAGGAAAAGATATACAAAGTGAACAAACAAAAGGAAAAATAAGTAGTGCTAAAGTATGAATAGGGATTGTCATGCTTTAGCATAGATGGATGAAGCACATGACAGTTGGAGGCGTTGAACAAACTTTTTCTGCATATAGAGATCTGACTTTTTCCTTCAGTAGCCAAAGCTTCAACAATACAGAATAGTCAGATACATAATGATTTGGGCAAGTTATTTTTGCCTAATAGATATCTTTATAGGAAGATGCTTTTGAGATAGATTGACCAGTATCGAACAGATGTTCAGTGATCGCTTCTCTCTTTGTAACCACTCAGCATGCAGTCCTTGTACCCTCTTGGAAAACAGTAAAATCGAACGACTGACATACTAGCTCCACACAAGCAGGTGGATTGCTAAACGCACGTAGAGTTAGTCAACTGTGGGATCTTGTCCTCCGGATTATTGAATTGTAATGATCGACTAGAAAACGCTAATGTCAACGATGCTACAGAGAATGTCCTTTACAGAGACTGAGAGATCCCTTCTTTGCGTATTCACACCTTTATTTAAACTTCCTCGTGGGATATAATCTCTTAAAATCCATATAAATATATATGATTGTACAGCCTGACAATAAATTCGCTGAAAAGTCTCTTCTCTGAACCACTTGTCTGGATTTTTTATATGTCCCAATGAGAATTTCCTACGAAATAATAATGATGTAGAAGCAATTAATAAATGTTTAAGAAACTGTCCAGGACCCTTGTTCATCTCTGCCTATCATGTCTGCAATCACAATTTATCTAAGTGAACGAGGTTTCCCAGCCTTCTTGTATGACTGATGTCAGTAGTCACACACTTCGTCGGTTGGTGTCCTGTCTTCATTCTACCAGCAACCAGAATCTTTTCAGTTATGTTCTCCCTTATTTTGTCGTTGTGTAATTCGCTTGCTTAGTATGTCGAAAAAACGTCACAATTATTGTGGTCGACAGAAATTTGCTAATACACCACGGCATCTAACATCTTTATGTTGGATCTAAACATTTCCCGCCATGTCCTTACAACTCATTTTAGTCGCTTCTATAACCTCTACTTTCAATAGGCGGATCTCAAAACTGTGAATTAGAGCAATGCAAAAAGCTGATTGATTTTATACTTTTTCGTTGCTTTGAATTTTCTGTAGCGATCGGGTCGGGTTTCCTAGTAGTGTCACTAACCCCACACCCAACCTTCCCTCTATTAGCGGACTTAGGACCAGCTAGGAAATTAGCTAACTAGTAAACTAGGCAAGGACAGGACATCAAATAAACATGGAGATAACCAACGACAACAATCATCAATCACTATGAGCTAAAGGAATTTGAAAGAGGCAGCTTCCTTCACTTTTCTGGTCAGCATTGTCTTAACTTCAGTCATCTCCACAGATGAGAATATCAAAACCAGAATCGAAAACGTAAGGCACACCTCCATCACTCTGAAATCAATCTGGAAATCCTCTCCACTTGGCAGATTTTCGACAACAATGTTTAGTCACCCAGTTTTTCAGTGTGGGTCAGAAACTTGGCGGGTGTGTTACGAAAGGCACTTTCAACGACCTTCAGCTACCTTTGCTCCACACTCAAAAATCAAAATTTCTACGTTCAGTAATAATGCGTAGACTAAACGGTTCTAAATAGGAACAAACACAAAAGAACCAGGTGGGCTTTAGAACAGGAAGAGGGTATACTGACCATGTCTTCACCCAAACGTTATTCGCTCTGGCACGCCCCGATTGTACTTCTTCTTGATAAGAACGGTTTCATCGATATGGACGACTACACCGACTCCTCCCGACACCTGAGTAATACTATTCATCTTCTATGACGCTAAATCTCGACAAAATTGAAACCACTGCACAGTAGACGTCAACGTATTAGCTGTTTGAGCCGCAGTAGCTCGCACCTCGGACTTTAAAACCCAGTAATTGGACAGAAACAAGATATTCGTCAAAGACAGTTTCGACTTTTCAAAGAAAGTTCCTACAAGACAATTTATTCAGAGTGTCACTTACCAGTGCGCACACTCATCCGCTTCCTGCACTGTGTACATCTGAATACATATCCATCAGTGACCTTGGTATGCGACTGGAGGTTCATGGAAGCACCACAACCCCATATCCGAGTACGTCCTATCAGTCCATTATCTAGGCAGCACTGGCAAACGTGATCTGGATGGAATTTGCATCTGAGCTCATGAACAGGGTTCATTTTAGCGCTAGAATAATGGTAAGCTTCTTCAACCAATGACTAGCATGCGTTCAGGGTCAATGGAACATTCACAAGGTCATTGGAACATTTACAATCCTGGGACTCTATTCTTGTACTTCGCCATCTTCACGCTTCGATAGATTCTGGAACATAGGCATATTTATCGACGACCTAAGGGCGAGATTCGATTCCATCGACCAGGAGGCACTCTACTCGAACTCATGTAGTCAGGCAGGTGACAGCTTACGGCGAGTTGTCATCTGAAGTGGTGACAACTAGTGTTATCCGTCAGGGATGCCCATTGTCCCCATTTCTATTTAATTTCATCATAAATGTACTAATAGAATTAACCCTAACTCACTTCGGCGACTCAGGGATTGACTTGTTACCAGGGCATAATCTCGTTGACTTAGAATATGCAGTTGATATAGTCCTTCTAGGTGAGGACACTGACATAATGCAGAGTCTTCTGAACCCCTACAGCTGCGATGTGCGAATGTTTGGCTTGCGACTTGCTCCCATCAAATGTAAGATGATGCTACAGGATTGGACTACACTGACTCCTAGCTTAGAAACACGGAGTGAATTCGTTGTTGGAGGGTGTTGACCACTTCACTTATTTGGGAAGCTACATCAGCCAGTGCCAGTGGGTTGATCGCTGAAAAAATCCCAATATGGATGCAGAGGGCTAGTTTCGTATATCCCAGTTTACGCCGCCTCTGGCGTAAACGTAATATTCAGCTGTCAAATAAAGGGCTCTTCCCTCCTTTATTGCCATAAGACCTGGCCACTGAGAGTGGAAGACATACAAAGACTAGCTAGCCGTATTTGAATAAAGGTCTCTGCGTTCTGTCTCCTGTGTTGAGTGGTATAATAAGATCAGTAATATTGAGATTAGGCGTCGAGTGCTCAGTAAGGAGAGAAAATCATTAGACGAGGCTGTGAAGTTACACCGACTGAGATGGTTTGGACATGTGTTACGTATGCATCACTAACCATCTCCTTCTTCAACGGGCAATGGTAGCTGACATAGGATGGATCAGGTTTGAAAAGAGCAAGTGGTGGTATAACCAAAACATGGCTTCATCAGTCGATGAAACTCGCAACAGGTAGTTTAAGCCACGAAGGATGGTGTAGACTTCCTGACTGGTCATGGTACTTGACACGGTAAACACCAATGGCTGGAGATAACTGTGGTGGCGCAGTGATGGCGCAGATGCATCCACCCCTTGTGATTTATAATATCCAATAAAACTATATTTTTCTTCCATATTACTATTATTTCTGCCTTATATCTCTGCTTATTATCTCTATTTTAAATCTTTACCCTCTTCTCTTGCTTTATGTACTAGGTGATGTGTGGCTACTAGAACTGTTGCACATCGGTGCGAAGTTCTACGTCGAAATCAACAAGTTGGTCAGTCATATGGCCAGCCAGAAAGGATTGGCGACAAGGAACAGTCTGAACGGATAAATCAAATTCTTATTGGTTACTAAACATCACGACGAGAATGGAGAGGGACTTGAAATTCACTGAGGAGGCTGTCAAGAGATATTTCAGCGCAGGCCGTCCAATGCAACTTGAATGATAAACGACGAGGTTTTATTGATTCCAGGCCAACATCGAGGAGGTCGTATCAGGAGAATGTGGGAGACTATGGGCAATCGTGGGGCTAACTTAAGAGGACTATAGAGGTCATGACAAAGTAGAGATGCCCTGTTGAATCCCTATGTTCCACTCAAATCCCAAGGAAGTAATAATAACAATAATATTAATTCTAATGTGTGTCAATGTAAAGATTTAAAAAGGCTAAATTGAAACAAACAATTGTGGTTAAAAAAAGGGATCATGTGAACTAATACTTACTGGTTCACATATACACTTGTACTCATTCTCGAATAAACCTAATCCAGTTGTTAAACAATTTGTCATTGTCACATAATTTGGTTGAATAACACTAATCATTGATTGTCGAACATGTGGGATACCAGCACATTTACCAGCACCATAAGAACATGGATTAGGGCACAGTGGATGTCTTGTTGTAATACTTGTTCTCCTTTGAAGTTCACTCCAAGTGATTGAACAAAAATAATACCAGTATAGTGCTAAAATAGATAAGTGTTAAGGAAAGCACAATGATGTAATAGTAGAATTTAGGTACTATGGAATTAGAATATGAATTCTGCATTTCCTCCAATTTTCTAAACATGTACCGAAAAGCCAAATTCTCAATGGAACAAATGCTTACATTGTTGTCATTACTAGGCATCTCTTTGATATGGGTCATAAGATGGAAATCGCAGAATCCTTTAAAATTATCAATAGATGCAAAGCTCGATTCCTCTTAAGTTTGCTGAAGTAATCTCCATCAAACGCCTGATACCCAATTTGTGTGTTCAGAAAGAAGCAGTTATCATTAATTCACCGTATTCATAATTATTTGTAATAATTATCCTTTTGTCTCCTAGACTCTATATCATTCTTTTCACATTTGCATAGCATATGCTGAATTCACCTTTGCTATTCGTCTTTGTCCCCCCCCCCCTGTTTAATCTTAAGTGTTAATGCTTCTCATTTTGGTGGTGTTTGTGTGATGACATTGATTACGTGTTGTTTGATTTTGTTTGTTTGGCTAAATGAAGATCATTCTGATGTTGAACTGTCTTTGGGAATAGTTGGTGTGTACTTCTTGTTGGAGGGGGAGAGTTTTCCATCCCACCTTTTTGGGAATATTCTACTTGATTCTAAGTTGTACCTCTTACAGTTGGATTTTGGTGAACTAACTTTGTTCTACAGTATTTGTTTTGTACTTAGAAGGTTATCTTGTCTGTATACCTGCTTAACCGCGCTGTTAAAGCAACTTTGAGTTTTTAATATCATTATTCTTCAATAAAACCATCCACAGATCTATCGATGAATAACCATGTTTTAACAGTGTTTACAGTGTTTGTTTTGTCTGTGAGTGTCTCAAGGAAGTTTCATACAGCTATACAGTAAGGATGCAGAGATTTGTCTCCTGACTTTATATCACAACCAGTAAGTTTAGGCTATTATAGTGGGTAGCCGTTTTGTCCTTTTTTCAAAGCCAAGACCTTCAGGTTACAAGACCATTCAGCTACTGAGACAAAATCGTACAGCTCATCAATATATTTTTTCTAAATAAACCGACATACACACATATACTCCTCATCGGCTTTCATTTTGGAGGATTTCTTTTTAAGTCACCTGGGGTTCTAGTGAGAAGTCGTGACCAGTAGGGTGCAGCAGGTCGGGCGTGAGGACAAATACTCGCCGAAGACATTGGCTAGGGGTCGCGTTATGTCGTGAATTGGCAGAAGCTGGAATTCATGGACCATTGGATCGGGTCCCAGTGGCTTAACGGTATACGAGCTCGCCTTGTAACCAGAAGGTCCTGGGTTCGAATCCCTGTGGCTGCGTACTGATGAAGAGTCCCAAACTATGACGAAACAGCTGTCCAGTACTCCCAGGTTTTCCAATGGTCCTCTAACTGATGTCAGCTCATGATGAAATCCTGTAACCAATCAAATCCCTACTAACCAACACTAGAAAATTAATCATTGGAAAAGCTTATCGGAAAATTCGCATTTTACTGCCGGTATATGGATGACACCTTTATTCTTTGTGATAATGCGATTTGGATAGGAACACGAAAGTAACTCAATTCAATGCAGTACATTCTGCTATAAAATTCACGTGTGAAAAGGAATCCCAAAAGAGAAGTGCTTTCCTAGATGTCCTCCTTTCAAGAAAACCAGATGGTAGTATAAAGACAAATTTGCAAAGGAAAAGCACATGGACAGGACAATATACACATTTTTATAGCTTTGTTCCTTTCTAGTACAAAAGAAATTTAGTAGGGGGCCTCAGTCACAGGTTTAGAGCTATATGCTCTGGAGAGGTAACTGGAGATTAACTAAGAACTGTATGTGATACCTTGATTGAAAACAACTATCCTGATAAATTTATCAAGAAACGCATAACAAAGAAAGCAGAAACCTTTATGCATACGCCTGCAGTTGAAGGGTGACGCACCTAGTGAAATAATTGCTAGCAATTTAAGAATATCTATTCAAAGAACTTTCAATGCTGGCAATTTACAAGTTATATTTTCTACAGGACCGGTTGTGATTTCCCGATTGAAAGAGGAAGTACTTAGACAAGCCACTTCCAAATGTAAGTAGCAATTCAACTGCCCCCAGGTCTTCAGTAGAAACTGTTTTTCTCTGCAAATTTCTCTAGTATCCATTCAATTTATTGCCGTGTTGAAGCTATTGAATTTTGTAATCCATTGATGTTATTATTATTGATTCAATGTTATTTAAACGATATAAATGTTAGTAATAACCCTAATTCATTCACATTATTATGGATGGATACATAACTACTGTCGAACCCGATGAAGAGCAGCAGTAGATAATCGAGAGGAATATTCTTCATTCAGGAGTCAGTCTTTTGAGCAAAAAAAATTTAATGATCATTTTTAATCAGATAAAATCAAACAAAGAACAAACAAAGTTTCACTTTACCTGAATACTCTGAACTTGTATTTAATTCACCATAAGTTGATGGTTCTTCATAATCAGTAGTAGTAGTAGTATTAGTAGTCGTTTCAGCAGTACTAGTAAACAGTTTTAAATATGCCTCCCAATCACATAATGGTATAAAAGAATCATTCAATAAATTTTCTGAATTTTGTCCACATTTTTGAAAAAAAGCAGTAATTTTATTCATACTACTGATATCAGTAGAAGTAGTAGACGCAGTAGTAGTTGTTGTTGTGGTAGTTGGACTACTCATATTAGCATTATCAGTAGTATTAGAAGGAGAAGGAGCAGGTGCGGCAGCAGGAGGAGGAGTCATAGTTCTAGTTGCACTTTTGGCGGTAACATATATTTCATTGGTTTGAATATTAACAATTTGTGTAGTCTTCTGATAGGCTTGTTTCACCCAATCATTTGAGCCTAATTCACTTTGAATATATTTATTACATGGTATATTCTTCTTTGAACTCATATTTTTCAGTAAATCAATTTGTTTATAGGCAAAATGACAATAAGATGGAATGTACAATGCTTGACAATCATTGTCCAGGGCTATTGAATCTATTGATCGATGACATTGTTTAAAGTTTAACTTGACAGTTAATATTATACCACCAATAAAATTGGCGGGAAAACCATATTCTAAATTCACTGATGTAAAATCTTTTATAGCAAATAATGGAAGTAATTCATAAGGTGAATTTTCAGCTGTCTTTATATGCATTAATAGTATTATTATCATTACTGTCACCCTTATTATGTAATCAAACATTTTTGTATTGATTACTTTTAGTTGCATAAACTGTATTTGTAAATCTTTATGCACTGTGTTCGATCCTGTATTCCTGTAAGGTAAAAGTGGAAAGGATACACAAAAAACGTTTACCTAATTTTCAGATTGATGAAATAGAATGCATGTAAGATCAATACAATTCCCATCCTTGAATCAAGTCAACCTATCCCGGATCAGCCTAGCGCTGTTGCAACCCAATTATCCATGCCTAACGTGTCTATCCCCCCTTGTTTAATGAACTGTGTGTGTTTTTCACATCGATCCGTTTAGTCAGACTAATGAACTCATGACCTAATCAGAGTATTTTGTGAACTGTTATTTTTGCTGACTAATGTCTTACTTTGTACTATTCTGTCGAGTTTATCTTATTTATTGATCTTCATCTGTATCAGCCTACCTGGTTAAGTAGCCAATTAAATTCTATCTTTGTGACTATGCTCTGTCTATCTCTTAACCGCTCTCTCTTCCATGCCCTGCCGTACTTGGATTCATTCTTCTACTGACTGCTTACCTGAACGGTCGTGTCTGATTCCGGCTAGTTCGCAATTTTGGCTTTAACGTTATTCCGCTCTGATAGCGGTACCTTGCTTTCTGTTTAGCGTTGTGCTTTGTACTCTTGAAACCGTTAAGGTTTGTTGCATATATAATTATTGATTTGTTTAATAACAGTACTTTAGAAACAGTGACCGGCTTCTTATTGTTCTGGACCGGGATAGCCTTTATCTACGCGTGACTTAATTTCAGGCGATATTGCGCTTACAATGCATTTTGAATATTACATATCTATACAGATTTGGTCTTCCGTATTTAGGAATTTCCTCTTAGTTTGGAATTCCTTAGTCTCGTGAATCTACGACAACTTCAAGGATAATAATAATATAACAATGATAACAGCATTAAAAGTTTATCTTAACGAAGAATAATCTTTTCAATAATTTCTCCTCTTCGGGTTCTTGCAATTATAAAATGTAATATTTATTGTTATCGTTACAATAATAATGGCCAGTTATGCGGCAGATATATTTTTTAACGTAGAATAACAGATTAGTTATGGGGTGTCAAAATAAATAGTCGTATTTGTGTGACAAACGCGCTATTTGGTTGAAATCGATTACAAAATATTGTAAAATAGGAGACAATGGTGGTGGTTAGTCACAATAGATCTGTTGAGTGTGGGGTAGGAAAATTGACAAGTTCTTCATGACTCAATGGGTATTTTCGGTTATAAAAGGTGTCAGGTGAAGGGCTAGTACAAAGTGGTATGTATTAAAGAGGAGGAGATAGTAAGACTGCAATGAGAGGTTCATAATGAAATGACCAATATGTATAATGAAACAGGTGGAGGTATATATATTGAGAAAAGATATAATATTACTAACAATAATTCCGGATACTATAGATGGAAAATTTCCATAGTATTTAGAGAATGTTTGAATAAAGGGTATAGATTATAACGAATAATAATAACTGTAATAATAAGCAAAACAAAAGAAAAAACCAAGTGGATTAAGGGGAAGAGGCACTTTCCGTGAGAAGAACAATGAATAATCCAAATTTGGCCATGGTAGGAACAGTGTCTGAACGTGTTCTTTTTGAATTCAAAGTTCCAGTTTTGTCAATCTTATTACAACAGCTTCAGCTATGTGTAGGAGACATTAATGGACTGTACGTGATAACGACTTCGGAATTCGGTATATAATCCTGAAGGCTGTGTTGGCGTTGATTTGATATCCAGTATCGACCAAGTGTGACAGGATCGAGCCTTTTATGCATCTAATTTCGCGCTCACTGAACCAAGCTGGTAAATGTTCTCGAACACCTAGATGAACCTGCCTAATCATATGTCCTACACACCATGAACCACAGGAACAGTTGAAATGGTAAAGGCATGAAGAAGAGCTAAGGTTAGGTGAGACATCTTTCAGTTGCTGGGTGAGCACTGGACGGCTACTGAAGGATAGGAATGGATGTGCACAACAGAAATTTTTCTTTACCACCCTGAATAAACGTCACGATAAAATCCCCCTTGAATTGTAAACGTAAAAATAATGGCTTTTTCTCAAGCGTTGCCAGTTCATGCTTACGATTATTGTAACCAATGTTGGCTTTAATGAACTTCTCTGGATATCCATTCCCACTTAGAATATTCCAGATGACCTGGAGTTCTTTCTCTACACAATATTTGGAACAAATGGACCTTACTGTAAATGCTAAGCGCCTGATCAGATTACATTTGTATTTCATTGGTACGAAGCTAAAGAAGTGTATATACTGAGCTTTGGTTTCTAGCATTCTAAATATGATTCTTTTGACGAAACCATCCCCTCTTCTCGTTAATAGGACGTCGAGGAAGTGCATGGAGTAGTTGTATTCCCCCCCCCTCCCGTAGGTGAAACGGACCGCTGATTGAGCATTACCAGTTTTGCTATTTCATCTTTCAACGGACTATTTTCTAGTTTTGCTAGAAATATGTACTCGAAAATCGGTCCCAGCACATTACTGAATAGAGATGAAACATCAAGTGATGCAATGTATTTGCCAGTTGCGTTCAGGTTTTTATTCTGGTGTCAATAAATTGGAAGGTATCCTTGACGCCATGCTGTATCCGCCGCATAACTGGCCATTGTTGTAACGACAACAAATATTATATTTCATAATTGTAAGAAGCTGAAGAGAAAATACTGAGATAAATTTTCTCCGTTCAGACTGACTTTTAATTAATGATATAGGAATATTTCACACTATTAAATCTAATACAATTTAAGATTAAACAGTGAGACAAACATTTTGGTGTGGTTGTGTTCTCTGAGCTGGATGGTTTGGTTGCGAAGCTTTCATTGCTCTACTGAGCAACATCTTCAGCGCATACTTCGATGTGAAGTGAGCTTTTAGAATTCTCTATGAGTTTATTAGTCATCTCTTCTAGTAACCTTGAACGTGATTGGTTGTTTTCGTGTGACATTTCACCCCCTAGTTTGCTTGTCTCGGTGCTGGCTGCTTCTTTGGTCTGAATGTCGTTAGTCATTCCTTCTGCTAACCTTGAACGTGATTGGTTGATTTTGTGTGACTTCTCACTTTCTAGTTCACTTGTTTTGGTGTTGACTGTTTCCTTGACCTGAAGTTTGACTTTGTTTTTGTGTGAATTTCTTCGTATGGATTGGTATATTTTGTCAATCTCTGTGTGTCTATTGATTGCTGATTCATTTGAATACCAGGCCTCTAGGAATTCTCTGGCATTTTTGCAGTTCCCTTTGTCTAAGATTTGAACATTGTCCCAGTCGAATTGGTGCCCGTGGTTGTCTGCATGTAGTGATATGACGGAGTGTATGTCGTGTCTTTTGACAGCTAGTTTGTGTTCGTGAATGCGAAGACGAAGAGGGCGTCCACTTTGACCAATGTAATGTTTGTCGCAGTCGTTGCAGCTTATCTTGTAGATGACGTTAGTTTTGTCTTCTTTTGCCGTTGAGTCCTTTGGTTTACATAGAACTGAGTGTAGTGACTTTGTTGGTTTATGAGCGACATCGATTCCAAAAGGTTTGAATAGTCTTGCAGTGATTTCGGAGATAACTTTTATATATGGTAGGACGACTTTCTTTGTGTTTTCGCTGGTGGCCTTTGATTTGGTTGGTTGAGTTGCGGGTAGATGTCTTTTGATGAAGTTTCGTGGGTATCCATTTCTTTGGAAGACGTCCATAAGATGATTTTCTTCAGTTTTCCTCAGGGCGGGAGTGCTGCAATGAGTCCTGGCTCTCTTGAACAATGTACGTATGCAGCTAATTTTGTGTGATGTTGGGTTGTTACTGTTGTAATTGAGTATTTGATCCGTGTGCGTTGGTTTTCTGTATACTTGGGTTTCTAATTTTCCTGTAGTTGTTCGTTTGATTAAGACGTCTAAAAATGGGATTTTGTTTTCATATTCTTCTTCTCTGGAGAATTTGATGTCGCTGAAGGTGTTGTTTATTATGTTGTGTCACACGAAAACAACCAATCACGTTCAAGGTTACTAGAAGAGATGACTAATAAACTCATAGAGAATTCTAAAAGCTCACTTCACATCGAAGTATGCGCTGAAGATTTTGCTCAGCAGAGCAATGAAAGCTTCGCAACCAAACCATCCAGCTCAGATAACACAACCACACCAAAATCATCCACCTGAGCTACAAATCTTCTCTATTATATCTAGTGAGACAAACACATATAATAAGGATCAAGTGTTCATTTGATATGCAAATGATAAACAGCCAGTAAGGAAAAGAAAAAAATTCCCTACTAAGTTAGCTAAAATGTCCGAATAAGTATCAATATAATGATCAGATAGATCGTTGAGGTGGGAATTTCCAAACAATTATATTGTTACAATTAATATATATATATCTGTGACAAGGAGGCGTAACATCTCATTGTCAAAAATATGTTGCGCAATTGCATTGACACGCTACAGATAAAATACGTCTTATCCAATTTTTGCCGACTTTGACATTTCTTACATTGAGATAATTTTAGAATACGAATTTGACCAGCAAACACGTAGTTTCAGTGAATTCTCATCAGGCATCACAATTACATAATAAAATGTCAGTTGCAGACATTTGAAACACTGTGGATTAGTAGAGTCATATTAAAACCAATGAGAGTGTGAATAGAATAATAATAATAATGAATTGTGAATCTATTACTAAAATAAGCACAATGGACAATTCGGACGATGAAGTTAGGAAAACAGAAAAGTTATTAGTTACAGAATTACAGCATTACCTGACACCGGTTAGAGAACCATTGAAAGAAACCGACTGGGAGTAGAGGTAGACAGCTATTTCTTCGGATTCAGTTTCAGACTCCTCATCAATACACACCCACCTCATCTAAGTTCGAATCTTGGACCTTCTGGTTACATGGTGTGGACATTCCATGTCCCCACACAGACTTTTTCTTTGAGCTCGAGGAGATTCATCGTCCTGAACTTTCTGTAGCAGGTTTGTTTACAGGGTGGGGTTGCTAGCCTCACGCCTGGGAAGGGGGACTGTTACATTAAATTATAATGCAGAGAGAAGT